TAAAGGAGATATAAAGCGATTTTGTCAGTGAATCAAAATTCCGTTCAAATTTGAACGGAAAACAGTCTAAGGGATAATGAATTTAATAGTAAAATCTCTTTATACCGTTACCGAAGTTCGACGCAGGATTTTTATATATGCTACTAATCTGAAGTTTTATCACGTGAACAAATGTAGAATAGTTATTGGCTGTAGCATACGATTTTTGGTCATGATTTTTGGTCGTCGTATTTTAAATGCAGTAATCATTATGATATTCATATATATTGTTCAATTATGCGAATAGATTCATTTGTTACTATTTACATAAGTCTGTTTATACCGAATATTGCTTGACCTTAGTGCCTAACTTCGTTAATAGAGGTACCTCGCTATACCGAATATCTCGTTATACCGAATCGTGGATACCTCCCCTGACACTTCGGTATAACGAGGTTTGCCTGTATACGAAAAAAGAATCAAAATTTTCATTTAACAAAATGGTGCTAGTCTGACTGTAGTTGGCAGATTTGTCTTTGTCTTAAATTCTTATGAGGAAATTGAGAGTATTGGACATAATAGCTGAAGCAGTTTATCGAGCCAAGCGACGGGACTTATTGCCGTGAGCAAACAACAAAGTTAGCACAGCATTTGCTCATTTTATCAAACTTACGAGGGGGCAACTGCTACGCACTTTACTGTATGTATGGTCATTAGTGCGCCAATTAATCATGAAAAAGATTACTGTTAGTTATGAGTTGCCACTGCTAAGGTTGCTCTAGTCATCATCGCGGCCTCTGTTCGGTCGATGCTATAAATTTCCTTTCAACCATACAAATATTTCCGTAGCAAAGCAATGGAACATGACGTACGTTAACCGCTTTTATTATAGATAGATTATAATAAAGATTATGTGGAAGAGAAGTTTCAACGTGTGAAAGTATAAAGTTGGATGGATGTGGATAAATTATGTATAATCTAGCTAAATAAGGTGTTCTGAAATTCCGGTATCATTATAGTGTGTGTTAATGATTATCCGATCCAACCGTAAAATAGCATGTACATCTGCTTCTCTTATGACATGGTGTTTTATTGTCAATTTTCTAAAAAATGCAAGATTGCTTCTATAAAGGTTTGTGTGGATCTCCACGAATGTCTCTAGAATCGATCGCGTGAATACCTAGCAGAGGGAACGAAAGTAATTAGTTAGAGATCGACATTGTTGATTCAACAGTCACTCGCTAGCACCTTGAAACACAATATAATTACTCACGTCTTGTCGAATTTCTGGTTTATAGCAATAAGCTTGACTTGAGTATTTTGATCAACATTGAGCCATGGGTAAGGGTTATTTTTCCTAAGTAGAGAACATTCAGAGGAACAGTGGTAAGCGGTCATTGGATGGTGAAATGAAAGTTGAGGGCTTTTTGGCTATTAACAACAACCGAGAATGCGTGCAATGGAAACCACACTCTCTCTGATGTCAGACAAAACAGTACGGTACTAACCTGTCCCAGGTGACATCTGGGCCACGAGCAAGACGAGTAAGGTACCAACCGGCACCGGCAACTGCTATACCCTATCAATGAACGAACACGTCATTAATACATGTAAGCTGGCATACTTTAATTTCGGACCAACTGGTGTTCTCTCATCTCGGCTAATAACTGTATATAAAATACTTACAGTTACAACATAAATCGGGACTATTTCTGGCCTATACCAATATCGCATAAATATGTTCCTAGCAGCGGCCATTTTGATAGTGTAATTTGAGTAAAGAGAAGGAAATGTTGTAGTCGCAAGGGAGGGATGTTAGCGGTATTTATAGTCATTTTCTTGAACGTTTTGAAATGGTTTTTCATGAAACATAATTCGGGTGAACTCGGCGAGTTTTCTGTGATGTCAGGTTACACAGCACGCTCATCGGATCTTTCAGCTTTGACACATCCCAAATACGGGAATAAAAATACAACAGCTCGTGCAACTGTAGTGCACTAGTACAACCACACGGAAATAAAAAGCCTCGATTTGGGGGACGAATTACGTCAAATGCATGTCGTCAATATCAACTGGAAATGTGGGAGACGGTGTCACACATTTGAACACAACGAAGATCTCGAGATGGATGCGTTTTTAGATATCGATGAATCTTACACTGTCATTAGGATTATCCACATCGATGGTGATTAAAGAAAAAAAAAAAAAGAGTAGCATCATAACGTCAAATAAACATCAAAACGTATAATACTTCTCCTTAATAGCGGTTGGAAATTATAAGTTAATGTAGTGTCACTTTGTCGTTGGTGACGTCTCTATGTCTGATGCTCTGCCTGCTAAGAAAACAGGCCTTGCCTATAAAAAAGGTACAATATGTGAAATTTGCATGTAGTGAAAACAATGGTAATTAATTAAATATTGCTTAATTTAGGTCACGAACGCCAAAATTTCAGTAAAATAACGTCATCAAGATCTGATGATAATCATAATCAGATTATCAAATTCCGTAAACATGCTTTTTTTAACGTTAACGTCGTCATCACTTGAATATTCATTGGTCAATGACAGTGCATTCTTCCTTCTTGTATCTTGTGAACTTCTTATTGCCCTGTAGAATATCCGTAATGACAGAAATTATATAATCTTTGCATAAGCGTGTGCTTTTATCTAAAAACGCTGATATTCTTTGTGATGACAAATTGATGTGTGTATCATTTCCCGAATCCCACGAATGTTTTTCTCCGAAGAACGAAATTGTCCATTGGGCTATTTTTAATTTCTATTTGTTTTCTGCATGCTAAAGAAGCTTATTGTTTATGTTGGAATAATTGAATTAACTAGTAAATGAAGTTAACAAGTTAATTTCATTGTTGACATGCTCAGTTGCAAGTTCTTTTGCATTGTCTTTTTTTCTTTCGCAAAGAAAAAGATTCATGAACAAGGCACCTTATGGCTATCATTCTTACATACAGTATATGGGTGTGGCTCAAAAGTTTTGACACAATGTAATTATCTCAGCATCTCTGATTATCTCGCTTAGTAAAATAATCATATTAAAGCTTGAGTCACACGCAATGAATAAAGATTTTGACTCATTTTTAGTTTGATAGCTGTCGAGGAAAAAATTTTGAAACTTGTCCATCAACAACGATGGAAATTGTACTCGTGAAAACCAAAGTAATCTATCTTGGATGTGCTGGCATAATAGTAAAAGAACCAATACCAGTCACAGGAGTTAATTAGAGGTAATAAATCATATTCAAACGTACTAGTTTGGCTCGAACGAAAGGATAAAAATGTAATTCGTTCTAAAGCGGTTATCATGAAGGAGCTGAATATCAATAAACGCGATACGGAGTTACTTGTACTGTATATAAGACTTTCGATACGGCAATTACGAAGGGTTAAGATAAATATGGTTTTTATGTTTAAGAATAAAGTGAAAGCATGTACGTCGCTAAAATGAAATGCGTTAATAATATTATTTATATCAAAAAACGGGAGCAAGTCTTTTCGTCAGCTCGTAACGTGGGTTTCACCATGTGATCCTTCGTTGCGAACTTTCTCAACCAACATGGTAAAGGTTAGGTTCCGATACTGTTGGTGTGAATAAGAGACATTGTTATCTCTGTTATTGTATATCGTATAAACGTATAGTTATAATAGTTGGATAAATTGTAATTGATCGTACAAAGATAATCGCTTAACACATTGATGAGTAACTTTATTATTATTATCGTCCTGATTCGCAATGCTGCGTAACAGGAATGCTCACTTGAGTATTCGATAAGTTAAGAGAGTGTTTACAATTGGTTTTGCTGGTCGATTCACTGAACTCTGAATTAAAATTCTCATGGTGATTGGTAATATTAATTACTAGTGGACTCATAGTTAACGTTATGATTTATGAGTTACTTGTAACTATCACATTGTGATGACATTAACAAATGAAGAGTATTATTATTATAGCATCACTGGACTAAATAATAGGGTTAGAACTTTCCTCCCTCCTTAGAAGGAATAGTCCTGTCTATGTCAGGAGACTGTGATTATCATTGTGAGTTATCAAGTAGAAAAGCTAGTGCAAATTCCATTAATAATGTTAGTCACAAAAAGCCCATTGTTAATTGTGAAGCAAAGCTGAGAACTCTAGGTATATATATAACCAACCACCCCACATTCACAAATGCTACTGTCTTCTTCACGAGAGAATTTCTTTATTATTAATAACTGTATAAAAACATTAACATCAACCATACTAATACATTAATGCCTTTCCAATTCATTGACATTATTACAGTATTACTTATTCTCAAATACGTTATTAATAATATAATAATAATGACTTGTGACCACTGTGAACCACTTTTTTTTAGTATTAGTAGAATAAATCTTTCCTATTACTATACAATTAATATAATTCAACTGCTTTCCTAACATCTCTTAACTTCAATTCCAAGTTGATAGCAATAATCAAGATTATTTTGTGCAAAGGCATTTCCTTGTTCAGCTGCTTTTTCATACAATTTAACTGCTTTCTTAATGTTTTTCTTCACTCCAATTCCAAGTTGATAGCAATAACCAAGATTATTTTGTGCAAAAGCATTTCCTTGTTTGACTGCTTTTTTGTAGAACTCAACTGCTTTCTTGTCATCTTTCTCTACTCCAATTCCATATTGATAGCAATAACCGAGATTACATTGTGCAGAAGCATTTCCTTGTTCAAGTGCTTTTTCATATAATTTAACTGCTTTTTTAGCATCTTCCTTTACTCCAATTCCATATTGATAACAATAACCAAGATTACATTTTGCAGTAGCATGTCCTTGTTCAGATGCTTTTTCATATAATTTAACTGCTTTTTTAGCATCCTTCTCTACTCCAATCCCAAGTTGATAGCAATAACCAAGACCATTTTGTGCAATAAAATTTCCTTGTTCAACTGCTTTTTCATATAATGCAACTGCTTTCTTGGCATCTTTTTCTACTCCAATTCCATCTTCATAGCAATGGCCAAGATTATATTGTGCAGAAGCATTTCCTTGTTCAGTTGCTTTTTTATATAATTCAACTGCCTTCTTCTCATCTTTCTCTACTCCAATTCCATATAGATAACAATAACCAAAATTATTTTGTGCAAAGGCATTTCCTTGTTCAGCTGCTTTTTCATACAATTTAACTGCTGCCTTAACGTTTTTCTTCACTCCAATTCCATCTTCATAGCAATGGCCAAGATTATATTGTGCAGAAGCATTTCCTTGTTCAGCTGCTTTTTCATATAATTCAACTGCCTTCTTATTATCTTTCTCTACTCCAATTCCATATTGATAGCAATAACCAAGATTACATTGTGCAGAAGCATTTCCTTGTTCAGCTGCTTTTTCATATAATTCAACTGCTGTCTTAACATTTTTCTCTACTCTGATTCCAAGTTGGTAGCAATGAGCAAGATTATATTGTGCAAAAGCAGTTTCTTGTTCACCTGCATTTTTAGCATCCTTCTCTATTCCAATTCCATATAGATGATATAGACCAAATTTATATGGTATAAACACATTTCCTTGTTCAGCTACTTTTTCATATAATCTAACAGCTTTCTTAGTATCTTTTACTTTCTCTGCTCCAATTCTGTATCCGTTTTCATAGCAATAACCAAGGTAATTTTGTGCAGTAATATTAATATGTCCTTGTTCAACTGCTTTTTTATATAATTCAATTGTTTTCTTAGCATCTTTTTCTATTCCAATTCCATTTTCATAACAATAACCAACAAGACATTGTGCATCAGCATTTTCTTGTTCAACTACTTTTCTATATAATTCAACTGTCTTCTTAGACTTGGCCACTTCCTTTACTCCCACTCCACATTGATAGCAATAACCAAGATTGTCTTCTGCATCAGCATTTATTAGTTCATCAACTATTTTATACAATTCAAGTGCTTTCTCAAAATCTTGCTCTACTCCAATTCCATATAGATAACAATAACCAAGATTCTTTTGTGCAAAAGCATTTCCTTGTTCAGCTGCTTTTTCATATAATTCAATTGCCTTTTCAAAATCTCGCTCTACTCCAATTTTAAATTGATAGCAGTAGCCAAGATTACTTTGTGCAGAAGCATTTCCTTGATCAACAGCTTTTTCATACAATTCAACTGCTTTCTCAATGTTTTTCTCTACTCCAATTCCAAGCTGACAGCAATAACCAAGATTATTTTGTGCAAAAGCATTTCCTTGTTTGATGGCTTTTTTATATAATTCAACCGCATTTCTAACATCTTTCTCTACTCCAATCCCAAGTTGATAGCAACAACCAAGATTATTTTGTGCAATGGCATTTCCTTGTTCAACTGCTTTTTTGTATAATTCAATTGCCTTCTCAATATCTTTTTTTACTCCAATTCCAAGTTGATAGCAATAACCAAGTTTATATTGTGCATCAGCATGTCCTTGTTTAATTGCTTTTTCATATAATTCAACTGCCTTCTCAACATTTTTTTCTATTCCAGTTCCATATTGATAGCAATGGCCAAGATTATATTGTGCAGCAACATTTCCTTGTTCAACTGCTTTTTTATATAATGCAACTGCCTTTTCAGCATCTTTCTCTATTTCAATTCCAAATTGATAGCAATAACCAAGACTATATTGTGCAAATGCATTTCCTTGTTCAACTGTTTTTTTATATAATTCAACTGCTCTCTCATCACTCATTTTAATATACCAATTCAGCATATAGTAGGTGTCTGCAATCAGTTTCAATGTTAATGCATTATTCGGTTCATGTTCTAAAGATTTACTAAAATATTTCAAAGCATTTTCATATTGTTCAGCCATAAAATATTCTGCCCCATTATATCTCAATTCAAGTGCATCAGTCTCTGATAATAATAACTCATTGATAGCCTGGAACATTGTATAATAATAACAAATGTGACCACCTTTACTCGGTCTCAGACATTAAAAGCGAAGATTTTAAGAATATGATCTCTGAAACGTTCCTACTGCAGCTATTGAGGTAGTTTTATGAACGTACATAAAAAGGGGCTAAAGCGGAGTAGTTTATATTTATGCCACACAGCAGGTGCCACAAATTGATTAAGTGCCACAATCAATATTGGTGCCACACATGGATATCATGTGCATTAATTCTGCAGCTTGTTTCGAAACACAAAGTTACGCGCGTCAGTTTTAAATAGCTTGACAGTTTCAATACATCAAATTTAGCATTACGGGTATGTTGAAACTCTTTATTTGTTACTTCAGACGAGGCTGGAATAGTCATTGAAAACACATGCAGTTAGACATATGTTTGAGCGTTCGGTGATTGAGTTACGATCATGCTTACATGCTGTTTGTACATTCGTTTACGCCAGTAATGAGACATTAGGAGACGTTATAACTGTTACAGAAAGAAGCATGATACAAAGCATTTATTGATCATAATGAAAGGGTAGGAAGAATACGTGTGGTGTTTCAGAAAAGATATAAATTGAATAGCTAAATTCTACGTACAAATTTTACATACAGTATAGCAATTAGCAGCCGATAAAAAAATAAACTTATTATTTTCATATTTGATTTCGTGTCAATGATTGTCCGGAGCAAAGCATAATCTCAACCAATGATTGATATTGATTGCTCCGGACTTACAACGGTTTCCGTTTCCTAGTAATATCACTCCTACTGAGAAGCGTATGCACTTGTTTAATGTGAATTGAAGAATTTGAAATGAGTTGGTGGCCGTAGTAACAAACATATGGACGCAATATAATTCTTATAAATTTGTCAACGGTGATTCCTGGAAAATCTACGTCTGCCGCTTGGCTAAACATCGAGAATCGAGCACACGACAAGAATGAATTTCAATTGACAGGCGTAGGCAAACCTCAGCTCGACCATCAGATCTTTGCAATGCAAAAATTAAAATTACATGGGTTAATGTCTTCGGAAGTTGTTCAAATCGAGTGGTATAAAGATTCTCCCTGATCATACACACCCTATACTAGATATTGAGTCAAACATTTCAGAATAGGTTCGAAGAAAGTGGATTTGAAAATTTACGAACGGCGCGAGCAAATCACCATACTTTTGTCGCGAACGGAGAAACAGAGAAGAACTTATATCTGAAGACTTACTGTTAATGAACTGATGGAAAGAATGCGGGAGGTGGAAATAACATAAATATGTTATTTCCATTTAGCCTAGGTTATGACGTGTGGATTATAAAACTCAAGTCATTCGAGTCACGTGTAGATTACAAAGTTTGAGTGACGGGTAGATCGCAAAATTCAAGTCACTTGACCAATAATATATCCCTAATACTAAGTGTAACGTGTAAATTGCAAAACTCAAGTCATACCACATACCCTTTAGAAAGTCAAATTCGATATTGATAATCATACTGGCCTAGCATCATTTCAGCTTTCTGTCTTTCAATTTCTTCTAATTGGTAGTAAAGTGGAAATCAGATTTTCAAGACCAATATGTTTTCTAATTTATTGTCAGGGGAAAGACCTTGAAATAGAAAGAATTGCTGTCTAACCATTTCTTCCTGATTTGAATTTATTTATGGCTGATCTCAAATTCGAGTGGACACTTATTAGGATCAGTATCAATGCCTGAGATTCTAATAGTTAGACTTGTGGTTGATCCTTCAGGTATTATATGGGTAGAGTGTGGAAGGGATTTGTTATTATTAATTATTATTATTATATTATAGGTGTTTTGGTATAGGTGGCTGGTCTCTGATGATTGTATACAATACTACAAATTCAAACTGAAGATATAACATACTTGTACTTACTTTGCGTATATTGTCTTTCCTGATGTTAGTAATGAATACGAAAACTGTTACCATATATCATCTTTAGAAAGTTTGCGTGGGGTGTCAATGTCAATGAATGTATGATTGGCTGGCTAGCAATGGCAGTAGTTTTCATCATCGGGAGTTTAGATGTATTTTTAGTGACTTTTTTAGTATGGGTTAAGTGAGAGATATGTGTTGTGTACTGTGCGCTTTTTCGGATCGTGGGAGTTACATATTATTATAATCAACAACAAAATCCGACGCCAGGACTATAGGAGCAATCAAATCTTGGATCGAGCTCAAGAATAAAGGAAAAAATAAATCTACATTCAACGATAATAATATTAATGCAGTTGTGGCGATGATACCGATGATGGAATAAATTATAATAAATAAACAGTTTTTCAACCTGGTAGAGCCAAACTAAAGGGACGTATAATAATGGCCTAGGGGCCGTACGTTCTCTCCCTCGCAACTCTACCGTAAGAAACAATATTGTTTATTATCCATGCATCTTTATTTTTAGCCGTGCTAGCTTCGTTATTTCGCTTGATTAAATCATGAAATAAAATGAATTATTCAAATTATTATTTTTAAAACATATTTGTGTAAGACCCATAAATTTCGGAATACTACCTCATGTGTATTCATTTTTTGTTATTTCTAAGTTAATGAAAATGTCATTATGCCTGAAAAATCAATTGCGTAATTTAGATGCACGTAAGTGCCATTACATTTATCACAGAATAAAAGCGAAGGTTGTGGAACTTTTTATGCCATGTGTTGGTACCCCCTGAGTGATTATACATAGCAGTCAGGGATTTTACCAAAGATGGAGGCAAATTTCTCCATAATCACAAATAATCCCTCGCGTATAGCTTTTTTGAAAAAAAGTAAATGAGACCTGAAAACCCTAGATTTGCTATGTACATTGTTCATGAGAGTGAAATAAGAGTGGAAACTAATGACCAATTTTTAAAAACCTTTTCAGTGTCCACTTTCCAGAAACCAAGAGCGAAAGACCCTTCCTGTCTTTTTGCAGACCTGGTTGAGACAGTACAATGGCGTTGGATTGAAAACTTGTGAAGCGAAGGAATCGTCATGCTAGTAATCAGGAAACGGCTAAGCGCCTTACTCTTTATTATGACTATATTCCCGAACTTTCATGAATTTTATTCAGTTTGTGAGAAACATTACAGCCAGATAATTGTTGCTAATCATTTTTATCAACATATTGCAGGTCTTGTCCAAGAGAATAAACGATTGCGACTCAATACTGATGAAGCTAATGTAACTGATAATGTTCATCCTTCTGTTGAACTTGACAGGACATGAAAGCTTCTTGAGTCGAGTCAGTTGGAGAATCAATCGTTCGAATAGATATTTAGTTACCTACAAGCCATTATCAATTACAGAACAGCTATCAGAAGAAATAATCCGTTACTCAAAAGAGCTGCAAGACGAGTCTTTTCACCGATATGGTCAGCACGACGTCATCCGATATACTGCATGATAGAAGTCACAGATGAAGTATCAACTGATGCGACTTGAACCGACTATACGAAATATTATAGAAAGGAATAATGTGGTTTCTCGATCGGGTCTTTTTAATCAGCATCAAGGGTTAGATGCGATTTTAGAAGAATAAACAAGACCCTGAAAACGTTGATACCACCTGTTCCACAAATACGTCACTGGAAAATGGCTGCTCGTAATTGTAAAAAATTCTTCCAGGTAAACTGATTCTTTTATTTAAAGTATAAAGTTTTGATCAAATTATTTACAATCATTGAATACTTAGTTACGGAACAATTTCTTTAAATCGATTAGATATAATGACGTTCAAACAACTGGCCCGAGGACCCGACCAGAAATTATTGCAATTTCGTGTCCGTTTAAGAAAGGATAATTTCCTTAATCTGATAAACTCGAGGATTATCTGTAAAAGTTTAGGCGATGAAAATGAACTGAGTTCTCAGTTGACAAATCTTACTGATTTAGCAAAGAAATCTCGTCAAGAGTATATTATTGAAGTTTTTTATAATAACAACCCAACTACTTCTTTTAGGCCAATTCCGATTACCAAACGAGAAGCAGTTGCACAGGAAGATGAAGCTAATATGTCTAAACGAGAAATTATTTTCAAGATAGAAGCTCTTCTTGAACAGATGAGTGAGAGTATTCGGAAGAGGTATGTTAATATAAAATTTAGAAGGCGAGATGAATTACTAAAGACATTAGAAGAGGTAAAATCTTTAATCAATTCAGACTGTGTCGATATCCATATCTATATATATCTGTACCTATATCTATATCTAATGTAATTTAAAAAACTGGATGCTGCAAGGTGGACGGACATTGCATATTCGTGTTACAAAATTATCCAATAGATGACCATCACATGTTCATCATTTTTTTGTTTACAACCGCGACGATGATTATGGATAACGTTAGTGAAATAAAAGTATAAATGTAATATAAAATAACCACACTGTCAACGAAGTGACAGGTTATACACTAGTTCTGTAATAAAATGACAATAAACGTATTAGTATCATGTGTCCAATCAAATTAATTACGTCACATGTCGAAATGTCTGGAATATTCTGATCGACAGTTTTTTGACATAAAAGTTGCGATCGACATCATCCAAATCCCTTTTTTTTCACGCGCCTTGACCAATTCACGCCGTTTGATCCTTTCCATTTTCTGCGTCTGACACTTTTTTCTTCACATCCAATATTTCTTACCGCGGTCCTCATCCTCACACTTGGAATTTTCTTTCCCGCAGGACCGGCCCGTCGCGTTTTTTGTCTATTCCAGGGAAGTACATAGTTCAAATTCAATCATAAATGGCTCCTACGGCGCGAAGGACTCTTTCACTTTAGTGGGAACTTCTTTTGTCAGTGCTTGAAAAAAGGTTTCCAAGATCCCTGCCCCTGTTAGGGTATGCCTAGCACTCAAATCTTGTAGGCCTCTTTTCAGAAAAAAGGTTTCAGAATCCCTGCCCCTGTTAGGGTATGCCTAGCACTCAAATCTTGTAGGCCTCTTTTCAGGAAAAAAGGTTTCAGGATCCCTGCCCCTGTTAGGGTATGCCTAGCACTCAAATCTTGTAGGCCTCTTTTCAGAAGAAAGGTTTCAGGATCCCTGCCCCTGTTAGGGTATGCCTAGCACTCAAATTTTGAAGCCTCTTTTCAGTATATTGGGCTTGATGGTCCTATGGCATGAAGGATTTTTACACTTTAGTGGGACCTCCTTTGGTCGTTGCTTGGAAAAGGTTGCAGGATCCCTGCTAGGGTAGGCCTAGCACCCAAATCTTGAAGCCTTTTTCCAGAGTCCATTTTGTCAATGCCAACTGTTGTTTCTGCTGATTAAATTTTCTTGGTTCATTAATATTAATACTAATGTTTCAGATTATAATTATTCTGAATGGACATCTCAAATGCAATTGCTCAGTATCTGAATGATGTGGTCTTCTCTAAATGGTCCATCACTGGCTGCCTTGAATTTTTAGCAGAGAAGGATATATGGGTGACATCTCAAAAACGAGAAGAAATTATGAATGAATTCAAACGCCAGATGGAGATGACAAGCACCCATAAGTCAGTAATTCAAAAGGCCCGAAACAAGGCAGCAAAGCTTTCTAGTAGCACTGAACAGGTGTTTCAGTTTGAAGAGATCAAAGTCTTTTTTGATCAAATGGAGAAAGAAGTATGTATTTACAAAGTTTTTAGTTGTCACTTGACCTTTTACTTTATCTGTATCTAAAGCCTAATTGGTTTGACAGGCTAACGAACGTTTGTTGAACGTCAAAACGAGCTCTACAAGTGATCTAACAACACCAGTTAGAGATGCACCCTCTCTAGTAATGCCTTCTGCAACCAACTCAGTCACTGCCTTAGTTGATTCAAGAAGTCCTGAAAGAAGGAAACGTGAAGAAGATAATGTAAGATTCTAAAACCGTTATGGTGCCTATTTAAAGAAAGTTGTTTGAAATGTTGCTATCTTCTGTCCAGGAAATTGCAATGGATATTTTTAGCAATGAAGTTGAATGTTCTGACACAATGCGAGACATTTGTTCTGAACATACAAAATACTACCCTAGTGACGGTGTTATTGATCTACGGCCAAAATCGTCATTCTCCAAGCAACTATCAAGCGGGATTATTGAAAAATATGTTATGGAAATCGACGAGAAAACGGAGAGTCTGATTCCCGAAAATGTGCATAATTTTCTCGCTGAATTCTTTTCTCAAGATTTAACTGGCGCAGAATGGCAGCAAAGAATCGATGATTTACGATCACTCGACAACAGCGATACATTAATGGCCGCAACAATACGAATTTTGCGGCGGACGTTGCCGCAATTGTAAGGCGAGTCGTTACGCTTTTTTCCAATCGGTAATTTGATTGTAGTCAAACATCATACTATGTTGAATTTTTGTAGTGTGAAAGCATTCTCTCTCGACGCTTTCAATCCTCTGTTGAATGTCACAACGCTTGAAAAGCCACACCTAAATGCCTTCGTTCATCCGTGCATCGAGGCAACTCTTTGGCACATTGCTCAGGTCCATTA